AATTTTTAGTCAAAACTTAAATTTTATCTTCGCTTCGCTCTTATATTCTACATTTAAGGGTGCTTCCTACATGTCTTCCTTCCTTCAGCAGAATCATAACGTTTTCACGCATGCTTATATCAAATTTTTAAGCAAGGAAATTGATCTCCATCCTATTTACGTAGAAAAGGAATTCTTATCAAAGGTCGTTACGAACAACCGTTTTCGCGATATCTTGACTTAAGCAATCAACACGTGTCTTTTTCAAAAGGTGAAACTATTCTGTAAACTAACGTTTTCAATTATCAAAAAAATTCTAACACACTAATAAAAAGTTTCGTCAATACATCGAAATTAGTTGAAAAATTAATTAGGTTTGAAAAATTAAAATTGATCTTTGAACGATGGCTCGATAAATAAGGACTTTTTATCATAGAAATGCCTGAGGAATCGATCTGTGGAATATCGAATACAAAAAACACCGGGCATATAAGTACATAGTAAAACTGTAGGTACTGACAATCCATCCGATAGATAAAATTTCCTCGAATGAAGCACCCGATTTTCATTTTGTACATACAGACATATCAAAACTGAAGAATGTAACTAACTGGAAGGACTTTAGTTGACAAATGTTATAGCCTGGATCTGAATTGTAACTTTATAAATCCCGATTAACACGATTTTACTGCCTAAGTACTTACAATATTATGTAATTCTCTTGAACCTCATTATTTACGGTTTCCTTGTGACGTTTATGAGCATCGATAATGACCCACTTTTCTTGGCATTTTATACAAATGACTTGGCTGTGCCTGATTTCCAGTCAATATGAGTATATTGATTATTATTTGCTGTGATAAATCATCATCAATCAGTTTATTTATTAATGACAGTTCGGTATTAAGAATCAGTGTTAAGTAAAACTCGTTTAACAATTATATGTTTGTTCAATTAAAAATAGAAAAAAGTATGAAATGACGCTAATAAATCATTGACTACTTCCGAATAAAAAGCAATACTCAACGATTACTGTTTATTTGAAATGTTCTATTCTTTACGTTTAGAGTGATTCAATTTTCCTCGACAATAAGGTTGTGAAATAACAACTATTTAAGTATTAGTGGCTGCCAGTTGATGACAATGCGTGTTTATTCACGAATTACAAACGAATACTTGTATATATCATCACATCTCAGTGATTTATTGTTGACCCATATACAATGCTTAATCGATTTTGCCACATTGGAATGAATGTGCTGGCTATTGCGAGTTAAATTATCAGTTATTTTGCTACTTAGTTTAATTGTTTCCATTGATCAGAACCACAAACACTTCTGGATTATCACTTTCTTGGCGTAATGTGTGGGGTTTCTTGAAGATAAATTGCAGCAAAAGTGTTTCACGGTTGAGACACTGTTTGGATCTAATTTTACTTATGCTGCGTGTTTATGAACCATAGGGCAAAAATCGACAGGCCACTCTTTGGATTAATGTTACGGATTTGTGTTCTTTATACATAAATAGTAAACAAACACTTTTTAAAATTCTTAAAATACCAATCATTGAATTCAGAACAGTGCAACACTCTGAGAAGTCAAATGCAAATTTGCTTTTCACTTTGTTAATGTAATTCAATAAGACATTCCACCAGGAGAAGATTGTTATAGATTAGGTGAAAGTAGAGTTTTACAACCGCATTTGGTGAAAAATGTTGTTAAATATCATTGTAATCGAATATTTCTTGAAATAAAATTTTGGAACGCCTTATATTTTACGCATATTTAATATACACTCTTTGTATCCGAAAATAGTGAATTGCATGATATTTATGATATATTTTTTGTCGGTTAATTTTTGATGCGGCACCAATTTATTCTCTACACCATCTCCGGTCGGTGTAAAAGCGTTTATATTTTCTTAAATTATCTATTAGAATTTATAGACAGTTGACCTTATTGACTTATATCATACTACTGATGGCAGTGGACAATTTGGATATATCTAACATTTTTTTAGTTAAATCGTACGTTTTTTCAGATTTTTTTACATGAATAATGTATAACCGAAATACATTATATCCTGTGAAGTAATTTTCTAAATTAATTTGTATGCGCTTTTAAGACATATTCCGGCAGATATTGAAATATGCATTGCAGCATTATGTGCACACCGAAACATATATAACATAACAGCATATAACATGCTCATTTGCTATAAATAAACTAATAAGACAAACGTTAATTAAAATGCCACTATCACCTCAACCAACACATACTTTTTACACTAATCCTTGATTGCAAGCTTTTACAGACAATATATTGTTTTGTAACAACAATTCGTTACCCATAAAAGTCAACTATCACTTCTGAGAACTATTGGTTGGCGTGTTTCGTTTGCGCCAATGGAAAATATGTATATTCCATATAAGGCCTCCATATTGGACATTGTTAACTAATTTAAGATTTTTTCAGTTAACAACTCAACAAATAGCTGCAACATGGAAAACTGACATTGCCTCTACTAATTTTTTATCAGATATTGAAAGAAATGGAATATTTTCTGCTAAATTTTCAACCCTCTCAGTAAGGTCCGATTATCCCTAAAAACGAGTGATGCGCATAGTGATGTGCGAGACTGGTCTTGGTCTTGCAGTATTGGTCATTCACATTTTGAAAAGCTTGAATTCATTTGTATCATATTATTTGTATGTAGTTCTGTCTGTGCATATAGTATTATTTTCAATTTTTGATCCAGTTTTTGGTAAATTTAAATTTCAATATTTCTATATTAGTTAATTAATGTCTTCATCATGCACATTCTATAAAACACTAAAACCTCAAGTAGTAAATACATTTCGATGAACAGTTTACAATGTACACTGTAACAATTATTTTTGCAGCAGAGTCCTTACATACAATTGCTGTATAAACAGTAATATAATTTAATCCTTGCGACGAATCATGTGCATTATTGATAATTGAATTTGTTTTCTATCATAAAATTATAC